GTGGACGAGGAGCGTTTGTTTCCTGGGTAGGTGTTAGGGATGTTAGGCTTGTGCGTGGGGGAGCGTTTGCTTGGGGACGATGAGAAGAGGGAAGGGGAGGGTGGAATTACCGAATCCTGCGCCACCTGTTATACCTGAGCCGTGTTTTTCGTGGGGGTTATGGTATGGGGTGTGAGAGTCTACGAGACCGAGACGTGTGGTGCTGTGTTGGTCTTGGAGGTCTTCTGCGGTGTAGTCTGGAGCTGTGCGGTTTCCGTAGCCTGCCATGTTTGCTGGCGATTATGTGATAACTTTGAGTGTTTGGGTGTGAGTTCAGGTTGATATCACTCGATATCGGAAATTATGGACGGTAGGTAGTCGATTGTGTTATGTTACCACGAACACGCGGAGATCCATCGTGGACTATATATCGTTCATGCACCCTTCCTTTACTATCTGCCGTGTGCTAGCCCGAGCATAATTGGCATGTGTTAAGAAGTCAAAAAGCCTTATGAGGTCACCTTGCTGGGGGAGGCGTAGATCATGCGATCAGAAGCTCTATAAGAGGGTGGAAGACCCGGCCAAGGTGTGCTTGGTATTCCTTGTAGTACGCTAAGTTCCGCTTATGTGGGTCGAAAGAGATAGTGGCTAAACTGGATCCTACGTGAGCTGTCGATGCTATGCAAGTTTGCGATACCGGGGTCGCTTTTGATAGATCCTTGGATACTTTCGAATCGCATGAGTCGTCGGCCTCAGCTTCACCATGGTTCCTTTTTCACACTTTAAATGCGTGGTCGGGACTTGTAGGTCGGCACTCATTGGATCGATTTGTTGTAAAGATTGAGGCCAGAGATAAAGCTGACATCCCGAATTGGTGGTCGTCGCCGCTGATCCATGATAGCGATAAGAGTCCCGCTAGGTGCTGTTCCGTCACTGGCTACTCCGTGTCCGCCAAGATCTGGGGTATCCCACACTCCCTAAAGCCCATCTGAAAGATCCAGAACCTGTACGCCAAGGTGTCTAACGCCAGCAGTGCAATGCATGATAATCGAGAATCGGAAAGGACGAATAGCTGAAGGTAATGACCTCATCGGATATATTTGGACTGTCGCGTGGTGTTAGAACTATACTGGAGGCTCAGTCAAGGGGCACATACCATGAATTTCTTGTGGAAGTCGGACCGCAGCATGTCGTTGATGAATTCCTTCTTCTTGTTCCTGTCTTCGGTACCTCGTGCTTGGTTCTTGAACACGACATCGTCGTCCCATCGTCGCTTCATGGTGAAGTCTTTCGCGTTGAGCAGGGGGTTGCCTCGGGCGACATCGATTTCGCGTTGTTGCTCCTCTTCTGCGGCGCGTTCTGCCTCCTCCTTGGCTTTGGCTGCGGCGCGCTCCTTCTTGATCTTCTCCAGCTCGCGCATGAGGGCTGCGGTTTCATCCTCTTCGTCTTCGTCGCTGGGACACCATTAGTCAATGAATTGGGTAATAATACACCTTCGCACTTACTCGTCGTCGCTGCTCTCGCTCTCACTACTGCTGTCGTCGGCGTCCACGTCTCTGAACTTTTCCAAGACTTCTATGCGCCGCCGTTTTTGAGCTGCTTCATCCTCTTCCCCCTCTTCGGCTGCCGGCACAGCATCGATCTGACGCTTGTGCGCATTGCCAGACTCAGCTGCTGCCTCCGGCTCGACGTAGGTGCCGTTCTTCTTCGCAATGTGACGCGCCTCGGCCTCGAGAAGTTCAGCGCGAAGATCGCGCTGTATGTCGGCATCGCCGCCCTGTCCGGGCTGTCGATGCTTCAGTGTCGTGTGTGCAGGGAGTAGTCGCTGATGGTAGGCGGGTCCGCGCTGGGCTTCTTTACCGCGCGCGGGATCGAACGTCGGTCTATGGGCGGTCGTCATTGTATCGTTCTATTATTTTGCGATGGTACGATGGGCTGGCACGGGTTTCGGAAGTCTTGCGCGTGGTTGACGTGGTGAGTAGGTGATGTGTAGAAGAATTGGTGCACAGAAGCTTGAACTCGTAAATCGCGCTAGAGGGCCGGCGATTACAATTCCCCGCCGCCGCATTTTCTATGGCTGTTACAACATCTACCATTTCACCAACAACCTCACGCATTTGCTGCAGAAGGTCAAGATGCCTCGAGAAGCTGAGATATCGCTTAATGAGCGCGAGTTCATCAAGCAAGCGCTGCAGGAACAGATACGAATTGACCGACGCGCATTCGACGCCTTCCGCCCACTCGAGCTCACTTTTGGAGAAGAGTATGGCGTCGCAGATGTTCAGTTAGGCAAGACAAGGTACATTAGTTACCGGGAGGCCATATGCGCAAGCTAACACTTCTCAGGGTGATTGCGCGCATATCAGTAGACGTGACGACACCACTACCAGAGCGCAAGTTTGATGGCATTTTTCAAATAGTCACGGAGTTCTCTCCAATGGCTTCTCCAGCCTTCGAGGTTGGTCGGTATGTTCTTCTAGATACCTACCAGACCTTTGGTATATCTGACTGAAAAATTAGTCCTACAGATGCCGAAGTCATCCTCTCGCGCATCCTCGAGAAAGCCATTCGTCGCTCCAACGCTCTTGACACCGAATCGCTTTGCATCATCGCTGGCTTAAAGTGCTTCGCTCTCCGCGCCGACGTACACATCATCGACCATGACGGCGGGCTGATCGACGCATCGTGCATAGCCGTCATGGCTGCGTTACAACACTTCCGAAGACCAGACGTACAAGTAGAAGGCGAGAAGGCGACCATTCTCAGTGTGCGCGAGCGCGAACCCATCCCATTGTCGATCCTACACCAGCCGCTCTGTGTTACATTTTCATACTTTGAGGGAGAGATATTTTTGGTGGATGCAAACTTGGCTGAAGAGCAAGTCAGGCAGGGAGAAGTCATTCTCACAATGAACAAGCACGGCGAACTGTGTCAAATTGCGAAGTACGGAGGAGCGACAATAAACCCGCTGGCTCTGCTGAATTGCACAAACGTTGCTCTGCAGAAGGTCAAGGAGATGAACGCATTCATCCAAAAAAGGCTTGACGAAGACGCCAAAGAAAGGGATGCCGGAGGACTAATGGCAGAGCTCAGCGCTGAGAATGCCAGGTGAGACCTCGCACGAGGCAGAATTACCTTACAAAAGACGACACGTCTGGCCAACAGCCAGTCTGCGATGCTTCCAAATACTCGCATCTTGGGCGCCGCTCAAGTTCGTCCGAGCATTCCATCTAAAAGGAAAGTTTCTAGAACAGGACGCGACGCGAGCCCACTGATGATGTGGGTCGGTGGTCGGCGGTCCCTGGAAACGCTACTGGGAACACCGAAGACCAAATCGCGAGATGCGAATTTAGAAGTAGCATGCGAATGTGGCTACGGATCGAGAGTTCATGTCAGGATGATGATCTATGTACAGCCGTGTAAATCAATTCATTATGAACTCTATTTGTTCACTTGCATCTCGATCTGCAATCGCGAAGTGTGCTCCCATCTTCAAACCCAAAGTTCTAGATTTTGGAGTTCACAAAGCGGTGACGTAGCTGACAAAGCCCGACCGCGTCGCGCGACGCCTCGGCTCACGCTCCCTGCATTTACACGCGACACACCAACACCTTGATCGAATGACATCTCCACACGCTCATTACGAGCGGACAAAATGTTATCCTTCATGCCGATTAAGACTTTTGCAATGATATATAGCTAAGATCCCGCATCATGGCTGCTACATTGCAGTTTCAAAGTCGCTTCACTCAATCTTGAACATTGCGTCATCAAGGGTCTCGCCGCATTACGTCTTCTATCTTTGATACCAAGCATCCGGCGCATCCTCACAACATCTCTTCTCTCCACACTGAGTTACTTCACCCAGATTCTCTACAATTCATATAGCTCAGCATGTCGTCGAAACTCGTACCCTCCGACCCCGCCAGCGTTATGGTGATTCGTGACGTTGTTCCGCGCGTAATCACCACTCTATCGGTCCCATTCTGGAGATTTGGTCGCGTGAAGATTGGCGGAAGAGGAACGATTGGTATGCTGTGCCCAACGAACACTTCACATGCAACTGCTAACGCGCAATAACAGTGCGCCTCGAATCCGGTTCTCTCGCCGTCTTCTCTCCCGTCGCATTGACCGAGGATGTCAAGCAGAAAGTATCCGAGATGGGCGAAGTAAAATACATCGCCGCCCTGGACGCAGAAGTACGTATCAGCCCACAAGAACACCTGCGACCGTTATTAACACTATACGTAACAGCACCACATCTTCCTCGGCCCCTGGCACAAAGAATACCCCAACGCGCAAGTCATGGGCCCCGACGTCCTCCCCGAAAAGCGCGCAAAGCAAAACGACGAAAACGTCCCCTTCTCGATCCTCTTCAGCGCCGACAAACGCGTCGAGACCATCTCCCCCGAATTCGACGCAGAGTTTGATTGGGAATACGTCCCCTCGCACGTCAACAAGGAACTCGTTTTCCACCACCGTCCCACTCGCACTCTCATACAGGCTGATCTCATGTTCAACCTGCCTGCTACCGAGCAGTTCAGCAAGACGGGGGTTGACCCGAATAGCGGCATCTTGACCAAGATCTTTGTGGCGCTGCAGAGTACAAAGGGTGATGCGAAGTGGCAACAGAGGACTATTTGGTATGGAACTAGTGCTAGTGATAGGAAGGGCTTCTCGGCTAGTATGGAGAGGATCAACAAGTGGGGGTTCAACAGGATTATCCCTTGCCATGGCGATGTGATGGAGGGAGATGGCAAAGGCATCTTTGAGAAGGTCATGAGGTGGCATTTGGATGCTGCCGCGCAGGGCAAGAAGAGTACCTGAGTGTGTTGACAGAGATGATGGGGCGTTTGGGGTGGTGCAAAAGCGAGATGTGTACATCGAAGAAAAGCGTGGAGTTGAGGTGGGTGGACGATGATACCAGTGGATGAGGGGTTGCTCTTTCTTCATATGTACTAACAACATAATTATATCCTTCATCCTTGCCAGCAAGAATACTTCATGAATAGTCGTATTATTTACTTCCTACCCACCCAATTCGCCATCTCAATATCGTCAGCGAAGTTCTGCTTCCTGACGTCTCTTCCGTCGTAGCCACCCTTCATCTTCTCCTTCTGGCCAGTCCAGATCGACGCAATACCAGCCAAAGTATAAGGGTTCTTATCAAACCTTGCCGCCGGTGCCGGAGGCTGGACCACTACAGGCGGCGTTTGCTGGACCGTATCTTGATACCCACCCGCCGTATCCCCAGGCTGCTCGAAGAGGATGTCCTCACTATACCCCGGATACCCATACGGCGAAGCTTCCGGCTCTTTCTCTACATTAGGATGATGATGTGGATGCGGATGCTGAAAATGTAGGTGCGGAACATGAACATTCGGATGAATGACATGATCCATGACCCCCATAACCGCCTCTTTAGCCCCATGTGCCTCCCCATTCTTCCCTTCTCCCTCCCTCACCTTATTCGGATCCTCATACCCCCTCCCTCCCTTCTTCCTCTCCATACCCTTGCGAAACTTGCCGTACCTTACCGCTTTGGACATGTAATACGCAATACCCAGGCCCACGCCTAATAAACCTACAACAGGCGCACATGTCATAAGTAGCCAGGCTACATGCAGCAAGAGGTCATTAAGCCAGAGTTTCTTCTTCGACGTCTTGTATTCTGTGTCTGAGAGATGTGCAACGAACCAGGGGATGTGGTAGACGAGCGATTTTTCGAGGAGGGCGAGGGTGAGCGTGGTTTGTATTGTGAGGAGGGAGAGGCATGCTACGCGTGACCAGTGGGCTACGAGGGGTTTGTTGATCGGGCGTAATTTGAAGGCTGTCCAGTGTTTTGTGTAGTGTGCGAGGGCGCGCTCGTGGAGGTCTGGTGATGGGGGTGGTTTCGGTTCTTCTTCTTCCTCGTCCGCTGGCAGGCCTTGCAGCCTTTCTCTCTCTTGGTCTGCGTTCTTTTCCTGTGGCTTTTCGTTCTTGGTGAAGTAGAGGAGGCTTATTGGGGCGCGCCATAGGATGAAGAAGGGGAGGACGATGGCGAAGAGGACAAGGCTGATGAGGATCTGTACAGTGATGGTGAGGGCGTTGATCAGCCGGTCAGGCTGCATGATGGTAGGCGATCGTATTCGGAGGTAGCTGCCAGAGTTCTGGACATATTGGGTGTTGCAAGATGTAGGGATATCTCAGCGAGTAGCATGGGCGCGTGAAGGCTACTTGTGATGAAGTTGGAAAGGAACTTCGTGGAAGACAACTGGTGAAGCAGGAGAGCTGTCTTCACGATGCTGTACCATGTGACGTGCCCCATCAGTACGTTATTCTATACTCTGGTGGTACATATTTCAGGCCTAGCCCTTCAAAGACCTTCTTCTCAGCATCTTCGGGCGTACCCTCGACTCCATCGGGCCCTTCCAGCATTATGGCTTCGCCGTTACTTCGACTTCGGATACCGCTGCTATCGAACTTCCAGCCTTTGATGGCTTTCGCATACCGCCTCAGATCACGCTGAAAGGTGGTACCGCCACTCCAACCCAAGACTGCGCAACCAACTGACCGCCAAGGTGCAATGATGATGTCAACTCGGCGGTGGATAGCAGGGTTCTTCGCTCTTGGATCCTCCGCAAGATCCTCCTCACGAGTAGGCCACGCTGGATCTTGCCACACAACGAGGGCTTTGTCAAGCGTATCAAAGCCCGCGCCGGCTCCCTTGGCAGATCGAAGAGGTAGCGCATGTTGACCACGATTAGTGTTCTTCAAGCTCATTGTAAGAGTGTGAGTAATCCACTCAAATTCCTCCAATGACTCAACAATCTCTCGGACCAAGCCCGCTGTACTCTCTAGCTCCGGGTGCGACACGATCAAGTCCACGTCGCCAGAGTCTGTCTTGCCACGTCTGTACCCGCCCACAATCGTGACAGTAATGCGTTCGTCGCGAAGCTTCACAGCGTGTTCGCGAACAACAGCGGCAATTTGCTCAACTTCAGGGCGCGGAATAGAGATCAAGAATTCGTCATAGTACTTGACGCCGATTTGCTGCACTCGGTCCAGGTCGTTCCAGCCAAACTCGATGATATCATCCAATTCAGTCCAGTGGTTGTTGTAATAGAATTGGCGTGCGGTCTTGGCTCCAACGCCCCAAATGTTGTAGAAGGAACGCAAGACTTTCATTGATTCGTCGGCCTCGAAATCTTCGACTGCTTGAATCTTGCCAGTGTTCTTCCACTCTACAAAAAGAACTTCAGTTTTCTCGTCACAACCCGGTAGCTGAGCGATCTCTCGGGGGTGACTAAGTCTGTACGGATATGCAGCGATAGAAGCGATAATGGTTGAGTAAGCACGAACACCTATGTCGTCGTCGATCAAAGTTCGAGCAGTCCTTATCTTCCTGAGCTGGTCGAGGAAGTCTTCATTGGGTCCGTTACCAGGTGTGAAGCGCTGACATGAGTACTTGACGCCTTTCTTCACCCATTCGGGTGCTGCAGGAACATCACTGTCCTCGCCTTCGTACTCACTGGTCGTTTGCTGCAGTAGATGTGCAGCTTGTGAAACATACGAGTGACCGACAGGCTGGGAAGAGCGGGCGAAAGCCTTTCCATCGAAGCGATTAGAAGTGTGATTTCCGAATCTTTGCGGCTGATAAGTGCTTTTCCTCGTGGTCGTCTTCATGTCTAGTTTCGCGCGATCTAAGATGTCTTGCACCGGATGTGGTCGTGTTGCCAAGAGTGTCTGAGATGCCGGCGCTACTTTTGTGTGCGCGCCGAAAATGTCTTTGATAGACTTCTTATTCAATGATTTAGGCCGTTTCATGACTTTACCCGTGTAGACCAAGTTGTCTCCCAATGGAAGTAGATGACCTGCAGTTACACAAGCTTCTACCCAGTCGAACTTGATAACCCAGATGGTATCGTGAGACGAATCCTCGAACAGTAGCGGAACCTGTGAGCCATTGTCGGATCTCGAGGGGGACGAGAGAGGAACGTGGTGCTGCTCAGTCTCAGAGCCGATGCCAGCCTCTTCCTCAGTGGTAGAGTCTCCCTCGTCCGCAGATAACCGACCTGACGTTTTACCAATCCTTCGCCTCTTGTTGGAGCGATCCTGTGCCTTCACAGGACTAGCTGGCCGTTTCGGCGTGACAATCTCCTGAACAACCAGCTTTCGAGCCCTCAATTCGAACTCGGCCCTTCTCTTTGTACCCACCTTCCCAACAAAGACCTTTGCCCTGGAGACATCGGTAGTAAGCGGTGCGTCGTACTGGCGCAACGTTTCCTTGAGCAACTTCACTTCCTCGTCCTTCAGATGCGCAGTGAAGATTGCAATTGGCGGGAGTCTGCTGAGGTCGAGGGCCTGTGCGGATATCGTGGATGTTGGTGATAGCGATCCTGGGCGTATTGTCTGGGAAGAGTGTCCATGATCGTCCATATCGGGGTATTTTATGCTGAACCGATTCCTCCAAGCAGGGGTTGTCAAGACGTGTCCAAGAGACGCGTTCTGTGCCTTCGGCTGTCTAGTTGAGATGTCCAGGTGATCATTGTTTGAATAGCCAAAATAAGCGCAATGTTATGTGATGTCTAGGTAACTGTCCAAGTGAGTATACCTAGGTACAGTCTTCCCAACGCCGCGCGACGGTGATGACGTCCGCGTGATGTGGAGGCTGGGAGTGTTTGCTCTGTTTGCCTTCGATCGCTCTTGCACGCCTATGCGTCGAGTAGCGCCACGCTAGTGTTAGCGCCCGCGTTTTGACGCGCAATCCATCTGCTACATTCGTTTCATCATGTCCAGTCCAACGTCTTCCAGGCTAAATCTCCGGAATCCTCCATTTCAACCGCCCGGCGTGCCTGTATCAGACTTGACATCCGCAGACAACTTGGCATGACGGTGGCGTCCCAGGAATCATGCGAGTCGAAACAGCACGCCTAGCCGCAAAGCCGGCGATCGAAACACACTGATCTAGATCTAGAAGTTGGGGAAACATCAGCCGAGTAGTCAAGGCTACAGGCTGGGGGCGCTGATGCACGTCTGGCTCCCCTCAACGGATCTCTGGTTCCTTCCAACTACATCGGGCAGGTCCTTCAGGCGTACTGGGCCCCAGCGTCTCGAAGTTATGCAATGGTTCGATGAATCCGCACCAGCGTGTTCAATGCGGTCACAACTGCGCCAACACCACGGGCTAAAGATTGCGCGAACATCCCCTCCCTGCCGTTGATCGTTTCTCTTGGTGCGCGGACCGCTGTTTCGGAATAATTGACAGGCAGACGTAACCTCTGTCAGCCCTTGCACCTACCGGTTGGTGGATATATAGTGAGCTTGTCTGGATAAGCTGCGGGTGATGATGCACTTTGGACGAACCGGTCTTCGTTCGCTACTACCCCGGCCGTTCTTGCAGCGGATATACATGTGGATCGCCACTCATTAACGTGCTTTATCTGTTCTTGTTGCACACTTACTCGGGCCTTCGATATTCTTTTCTTCATTCATTTCGCTACTTTTGACAAGAGCGCTGGTCTCCAAGGGTAGCTAGACTACGCCCATTCAGCTTTGACAGCAACCCATTTCGATCTCATTGAACATCTACACCACCAATCGGACATTCTCTCGTTTACCACACCAAAAATGCGCTCCTTCATTATCATGGCCATCGTGGCCCTGTTCGCTTTCGCGTCTGCCATGCCCATATCGCCTTCGGCGCCCCGCCTCCAGAAGCGAGCTGAACAGTATCGCCTTCAAGGACTGCGAGAGGTATGTTGCGCATGTCATCGAATATGAAAAGGATATGATGACTGACTGTCATAGTTTGAAATCGCCGAACGTCTCTCATCTTCCGCATCATCAGAGGTTGACCCATGGCGCATTCGATTAAACCACAAATTCCATGCCCTCTTTGATCCAACACCAACCGACGAAGAAGCCTCTTATGACGACGACCAAGAGGACTTTTCTGGAGACGTAGCACCGGGATCTGTGGAAGCGCCGCAAGTCCTCCCCAAGGCTTCAGAGGAAGACAGTCTCTTCGACCGTCTGTGCGCCATGTTCCACCGCGCGGAGAGCAGCTTGGGGTACGAAGGCAAGGAGCTTGATGTGCGTCGACCTGGAGGTGTGAGGGACTGGAAGCGATCTTATGGAGGTTTCCGACGATAGAGTGCAATCTAACCTTTCATCACTTCACCCCATGAAATCCTGAACGAGACAACTGGTATATTTCTAACTGCATCCGTGATGATCCCAAAGCCTATAGCCCACCTACCCAAATAATGTTCGCGCCCGCTGAGTTAAGTAATAATCCAAAACAATGCCGCCAATCCTCAAGCGCCTGACTAGTTACCCAAAAGACGTGTCGATGATTAGACACCCATGGTGAAATCATGTTCTATACCTGGAGTCACACTGTGGGCTGTTAGAAGGTGCTCATTTGTGCAACACGGAGTAAACTTACCTGGCCATGAACTTCAAGAAGACGACAAGATACTGGTCCACGCGGATAGCTACCTCCTCGTCGCCGCCCTCACCGAGAACCTCCCAGTCGTCCTTGCCCTCATCGCCGTCCTTGTTCTTCGCTTGCTCAGTAAGCTTGAGCAGCCGTGTATCATCGACAAGCGCCTCCATACCGCTGTCGAGCTTGCTGACATCCTTGCCGGCTTTAAGCTTAGCGAGTCGCAGCTTCAGAGCAGCGTCGGCGCGGTCAAGGAGGACTTTCATGACGGATGCATGTTTGCACGGATGTACTGAGGCGGTCTTGAGAGGGTTCTCAAAGAAAGGGAAGTCCTCGATGGTGACGGTCTTGTCCTTGTAGTCTCCGACAATGTCCTCCATCATTTCTTGCGGTTTGAGCGGAACGGACGTGGAGCCGTAGCCCGAGAGATACAATCGCGGTGTTCGGTAGTGGGCGGAGTATGTGATGTAGAGGGTGTATGTCCGGAGGGGCCTGTTGGGTGTCAGTCAGTCTGTACAGCGCTGGCAGCAGGCGGGCACACTTACGCCTTTGTATTTGAGTCGGCCTTGGGGTCTCTTATGATGGCCTCCTCGTCGTCTTCGATATCCTCCATGTCGGGTATCTCGTCATCCTCCTCTGCCGCGCCTAGGTTGCCGCTCTCGTCGACCGTCCGCACGTCGCGCACCTTGGCCTCCTGGCTTGCAGCCATGCCTCCGGTCCTGAGCCAGCCGTCGTCGTCGGTCGCGCCTTCCCCAGCAGCGAAGCCGTCCCTCACTATGGTCTCATCTTGGCCCGCCTCCCCCGCAAAGTTGTCGTCGAGCCGTCGGTGGCAGGGCACGCCGCGCGTTACCAGGAACTGCTTTCCTTCCGGCAGGTACGACACGCGCTTTGCAGGCGATGACGCGTCGGCCCACTGCCATGAGGGGAACTTGAAGACGAGGAAGTCGCCAGCGAGGACAAACTCCTCGGGCGTGATCTGACCCGTCTCGCGGAAGGTCGATGTGTGGCTGATGGCGGCGGTCCGCTCCCGGAACGTGTCGATGTACGACCTGACAAAGTTGTAGGCCATGTTGGTTGCTCGTGGTTGGTCTGATTTGCGTGCGGAGTTCGAGGCCGTGGTTGAGCGGGTAGCGATGTTGTGTCGTGTATCTGTACGGTACTTGGAGGGGCGCGGGGTGGAGGCTGCCTTGCGCCGCATCGGTCCCGCGCAGCCTCCACCATCGTCCCAAGCCGACGCTCCTCACCCCCACTTGTCAGCCGACAACACCCAACATTCATCACCGTCATCCGCCGCCTGCCTTCACAACACTTCATCACGCTTCGATTTCACATGACGATAGCGCACTCAGGGTCCGAGACTGTCACGCACCTTCGGCGTGACACAGTGGCGCAGAGCTGTCTAGCGCTTGAACTATCCATGGATACGCTGCATGTGTAACAGAGACCAGCCCTTGAAGCCTCATCAAGTATGACATCAGTCATTGCAGCATGCTGCTTCCCGCCTACATGCAATAGGTTCGGAGCTCACACCGTGTCTCGATACAGCTGCGCTCGGAGAGCCCTACTAATTCATAGTCATCCGGAGGGTGCGTGCACTTCGACTGTCGATATTCGTAGTACCGTCTGCAGGTATCCCTAAGATTGGTATCTAATTCCGCATACAAATCGGTATGCTACCTGCGCAGGCGAAACTCGTTTGCGTTGACCTACTGCCTTGAGCTGTGGAGATACACAGAAACACAGACAGGTGTCAGGACGCCCACGCTCGTGTGCGAGCGTCTGGAACTCGTAACACTCATGACAGATATCGTTACGAAATTTGGCAGTGCCAGATGTAGTCGACGGAGCAACAAGGCAAAACCTTGTCGCAGCGCAGCAAGACACGCCCTCGATTCGGTTATGTTACCTCTTGAGCGACAACTCCATGACCAAGCGCGCTCGTGTTACCCAACATCGACAGGTTGCCTAGCTTTAGGCTCGTTCTTCGACAGGGGGCGTTAGTGTCGACACTGAAGGGCGTGCTCCATGTCTGCGTACTGTCGTACGCCGTTGCCTGAATGCAACGGAAGATCCCCCTGGCATTCCCTCTAGCCTCGAATCTAGGGCTAACTTGAACGTCATAGCTCTCCTAGATGGGCCCTTCTAACAGATACGTACGACTGTTCGTTTTCTGAGTTATCAATTTATCGAGCTGAAGTAAATCGATGCCACAATGCTTCATAGGTAAATGTTGTCCAGAAACGATCAGTACGGAATTACAAGGCAAAGAAAATGGACCACATGCTCACCCAAGCCCTTCTAACCCCGTCCGGCGCTCACCGCATTCATTTGCTTCGAACGCACCCTTTTCGACCTCGAAACATACGACAAATCCTTGTCTGCTACCAAATGTTGCATGGGCTCTCATAGTCATTTCTCTCTTTGGTGCAACTTCAAAGTGAGTTCACAGTGTCTTTGCTATGAGGCTAGTGGCTCATGCACATGAACGTAGGTTTTGATAGACTACGACATGAATACCAACTGACAAATCCATTAAGGTTCAGTTGATGTACGGCAACCCACAGCCGGTTCACAGTCAACCCTGAACAGCCCCACATGTTCACATACGAGCTCGGGCTGCAGAAAGCGTATCCTTACCGACGTGGCGATCAGATCAGTGCTCAACAGCCGCTATAGCCATTGGGAATTCCAGCATGTGTAACGAATCTACCCGCGACTTCCGCTTATGGCAGATTGTACCCATCGTAGCAACGGCTGGGTGCCTTTGCACGTTTGGGAGAAATCATTGAACCACGCTCATTCCAAATGCAAAGTCAAGCACGCGGGAACATCTAAAGAGCTTCGTACCATATCGCAGACTGTCCATACATGTCGCATCGATTGGAAACCAAGACCATGGGAAGTACTATCGGCCGGCAGTGCTCGTATGTCTGTACCACTGAGTCACCAAAGTAACAGTGACCGATACATTACCCTCAAAAGAAATATGCTCTCAAAGAGACGGAATGGTCACAGCGGCAAAATACCCACAAATCTTCAAGCCAAAAGGCTGAGCCATTCGCGGAGCGTCAACGCCGTGCTGCCAACAAACGCACCCACAGCATATCTCAAGAAACTACGATGTACAGCGTCTTTACCAAAGCTTCAGCACTAGCCACAACACCTTCAACACTTGTGGCATGGCAGAAACAGCGCCCAGTCGATACGAGCCACTTGATGCATCTATTGAGACTGTACCGATGGCCTAATGTCGTGTCGCCTCAAGCGTCTCCCTCTGTCTATAAAGGCCCCATGCTCGACAGCGGACTGAGCATATTTCATCCGATGACAAGGACATTGCAACTATTCCTGACCTCATCACGAACAGCATATGCACTTATCTCTCGACCTCACGAACGCCACGCCGAAATTTCGAACCTACATATCGCTTCTCACAACCTGTCATTGTTGCAATGACGGATCCCAGTACAGTAAACGATCCTTCGCAGCCGCGATGCGGAGGTTGACGCCGACGAATTATACCGCCCAGGCCCAAGTATGCATCAGGCTTATCTTTTGGAGGTCGACGTCGCTGATGTAATGGTGCGAAACAGTCATTGCAATTGTTCGGTGATCTGGACCACGTGCTACACAGTCGCACGCATAGCAATGTCTTCATCAGCTTGACGATTTTATCCTACCAACAGCCAGCCGCTTGACAGAAGGGGTACCAAACACCGCGACAGCACCATCGCCAACACGCGATCAGCATATGCGGGGCCTATCTTTCTATCCCGCACATTTGCGTTGCATGATGGCATATTATTGAGTTCGCAGCCCTCGGTATCACCTTCTGCACAAAATCAAGCTCTAAGTACAGTCGCTCCAAAATTTGCATCTTTTGTCCTCTCTCCAACCGCATTTTTACCACGATGTTACTCATAATAACGAGCAATATCACCTTTCAACCTGTGTATTCTCAGTCAAGGAACATGCCAAGTGGTACCTTCCCTTGCTGTGGTTGGAAACATGTCGTGTCGCCAGGCTTTTAGCATTCCCGCGCCGCGGAACGCTCACCAGTGACACGAACACGGGCAGATGGGCATTCTACCACAATACCATCGAGCACATGATAACGGTTCGCGCCTCGGTGGGGACTTCCGAGAACAACGGTTGGCTTTCGTTTTCTCTGCTCGAAAAATGAGCACTGGATGAAACCCGCACTTCTCCAATCAAATGGTGACTCCCGCGCGTACAGCATCCGCTTCTTCGTTGGCAACGTTACTATGCGACATGCGGAAATTCGTATCGGAGCCGACTTCGGCAGGCAACGAGGATGCTGTGAGCTGTGAATTTGCGATCAAGGAACATGTCTCGATACTCGCCTTTCTCCGTATCCAAAGAACTTGCGGCAGAGTGAGTCACCACGACAACGACAACGATAACAATGCCCCAATGATAGCCGCATATTGCGATTCCCGTCGTTCAAAGGCAGTATCACTAGCCCCCACGTAGCGGGTATAACACTTACAATCATAGTACAAGGCAATGGAATTAACATGGGCCCTGTACGATGCTAGCTAGAAGAGTAGGAATGTGGCTAGCGGCTGAGACCGGGATACGCTCACGACTGTTGCAATTGTGTGGCATATGCGAGGCTGTAGTCCGTTTTAGTGGCATGTGAAGGCCTCAGACGGTGATGGTTCAAGGAGTATGGGGAACTTCCACCTTCTAAGAATGGCTTGCGCTTCGAACACGTCCTGCACCGCAGTCTTTGAAGCAGCACCAGTCCAAAGCATTTTCATCTTTCACATGAAACCGGCGCATAGCTATTATTGCTCAGCTCACTGACCAACTAGATTCCTCCCAGATCATTGCTCGGTGCATCCCCCAACATGCACTGGAAAGCTAGGTGAGCGGGACCTGTTCACCCATCTAACATCCTAAACCTTGACATCAAGGCTGAAGCTCGAAGCCGACCACCTCGCAGGCCCACCCGTGAAAGCCTCCGTACCAATTTGGTAGACTACTCGTGTATCAGTATCAGTCAGCTCTAACCGTGTGGGAACGACCTACCAATAAGATTCTGCGTGCTTGCAGGATACTGCTGAGTCTGAACCAAGTAGTTGAAGAACAACTTGATATCCGCACTAAAGCTCTTAATATCACTATTTCCAGCCCGCACAAAACTGTACACGCGCATCGATCCGTTGTAACCGGTGTAGAGATCAAACGTGTATCCAGCGATGGTGACGGTTGCTACAGGAGCTCCAGCTTGTGAGATGGGCCATACGCCTCCCAGCCGACCGAGCCTTGTCCACGTTAGTCTTACTTTCTGAATCGTTGTCGCATGCGCTAAGAACTTACCAGACCATGAGTTCATAATCCCCACTGCTGTTGACATGATTCGGATCCGCGGCAGTAAAAACATCATACGCCACATTCGCCCTCACATTGCTAGTCTGATTATACGACCACTCCACCTGCGTTGGCATGCTAGTAATCTGCGAGATCTTCTGTCCCTTTGTCAAGATCTTGCCCGCGTACGCATAGCTCTTTACGTTGTCCTGCCCGCCTTGCCATACCCAATCTGTGCTCCATTTGATGCCGCCGGAGGGGGTGCTGCCTTCGTAGTAGGTGCACTGCGAGCCGGAGGTGGCTGCGTCTTTGCCCCAGAGGTTGTTGAGGATTTCGTAGCCGTTTGCGGAGTGGTAGGCGTATTGTGTGCAGAGGCTGACGGTTTCTTGGACGGAGGTTGCGGAGCGGGAGGTGAGGGTGGGTGTGCCGACGGGGGTGGCTGAGACGCTGGTTAGTAGACCGGCGGATAGAGCGACGAGAAGCCTCATGGTGAATTCGACGAGTTTTGTACGGAAGAATGGACACGGATTTTGTCTGATTAGTGATACACGGTTCTGTAGTTCATTTTATACTAGTCCTACACATAGATTTACTTCAGCCTCGGATGCACTTCAGCCGCTCCATATGAGATTTTGTAATTGCCCGATCAGCGACCAGCCCTTTTAGCAAACCTGTTGGTCATGACACAAAACTAAGCTGTATCGGAGTAGCCTCACTACCGGCCCTTCAGCCTCCAGATGAGGTACGAACGAGTTATTGACATGGATGTCTAACTCACGGTCGAGGTAGTAGGGCCGGTTCACTTTGTGTGGTGTATTTAACCTTATGAAGCTTCATATATGCTAGTGTGACCGGGTGTTGAACTCGGCACACATGCGGGGTACCTGGGTATAGCAGCAAAATAGTATGCAAAGAGCTCGGTATGATCCGAAGACAGGATCAACACATCAAAGAATGACATTCACCATGCACTATGCCGAAATCAGAGGAACGGTGGATTGTATAGTGAACTTGCACTCCACACGTCTAACAGTCCATCTATTCCAATCGTGCAACATGAATCCCTCACTTTGTTCCTCGCAGTAAGATACTCCACGGAATGCAATACCCCCCAAAGTGTACCCCTAGTGCCCTATAGCAAGCCAAGCAAATGCAAAGCAGCGACCAACAAACTCAATATATGCCTTGTGTGCGGTACTGGAAAGTATCGTAACTGATGGTCTCGTCAGTGAATGTCATCTACAGGTTTAGAGTAAAATTCAGACTTACAGTCGGGTATAATAACTCCCCACACTCTTCGCAACGAGTTCCTCGACGAACCCTTCCGCCTCCTCCCTACTCAAATGCAGCATGAGACGCGCTCTCAGACTATTCGTCACACTCGCCGCGCCAGCAGCAAAGCATGGCATGCTGCTTTGTTTGCTCATCAAATCGACCAGCATGATCAGGCGCTCTGCATCTTTCCTGAGTGCTTGGAATGCCTTCTTGCACAGCGTTTTGAACTCGTCGAACGCCGGGGATGTCACACCGCCTAGGACGTCGACGTAGTCTTGCGTTAGTTTGAAAGGCGCGGCTTCGAAACCCATAGACCCGGGGCTATTGGAGAGCATGAAGCCAAAGTCGATGTGGATTATGTGGCCCATGTTGTCGATGAGGAGGTTGCCGTTGTGGCGATCCTTTAGTTGCAGAACGTAGCATATCATGCTGTAGGCGGCTAGGGAGCGCGCGAAGCATCCTACACCCGCAATGTAAGCTTCCGAGTCTGGCTCGCCGAATGTCTTGAGCCAATGATCTTTGAGAGTTGCGATGCGTTTCCGGGGGTTGGTGCCTGCTGCTATGCTAGCAAGTGTCAAGCTTCGTTTCAGGGAGTGAAGGGATACACCGTTGGTGATGGTCTCGATGAGTCCGCAGGATTCGCCGGTAACTAAGATGCGCATCCGTTTTGTCCAGACGGGCACGTTTGCTTCTTCCCAGATCTTGGTGCATACTTCGATGAGCTGGCACGCAAAGGCTTCTTGACGCAGGTCGGCTCCGGTCTTGACGATGACACTGATCAGGTCCCAGTTCTTCATATTGCCATATGGGGAGGATCGCCGTATTCGCTCTCGCTTGGCGCTCCATTCTTCACCGAATGTCGCGGCGCTGGGGTCATCACGATCGCCCTTCCGCTTCATACCACCAGTTTTGAGATCGTTCTCCATGCGAGCTGCACCCGCACCGGTGTTAGTAGCGACGGCCAAACCGTCCTCAAGCTCTTCTGGCTCGGCACTGATTGCAGCTGGATCCGACTCTGCCATGATCGTGTCGAAAGTGGGGCCCTGGTCCTCGTTCAAGAAGTTTTGCTCTTCCAAGCTTTGCATGCTTGCGATGATCTTGGCCTTGATCGCAGCTACTTCGCCCTTTGGCCGTTTCGCGCCACTCGCCTCGAGCTGTGCAAGCATCTGGGCAGCGGTGCGCATGTGAGTCGCAAGGGCGGAGAAGTCTGGTTGATCCGCTGATTGATTCCGCTGGTTCAAATTCGCAGGAATCGTCATTCGCCTGATCGGACCGGGACTGTTCGACCTGCTGATCTGCGAGTCGGAAGTTCGTGGTGTAGACAAGGTGGCCACAGAGGACAGAGTATTTGCTCCACTAGAAGACCTGGGGGCTATGGCTTTCCCATTGGCAGCCGCAGCAGGTAAGGTTACGCGTGCCATCCCGGAAGCAAGGTCGGTATCATCCATATCCTTGATGAGCGAGGTGCTGCCCAGGTCTCCAGTAGCGGGCTCGAACACGCTGTCTGATCCATTGGGTGGCGTGCGGTCGAAGGCAGAATACTCAGCATGAGTGATGTCAAATAGTCGTCTCCGCGAGGTGCCCTTCTCTAGCATCAGTTTCTCAAGCAGCTGTTGGTTCTGTTCGGTGTCCGGATCAAAGTCAAAGTCCTCCTCCAAGACCTCAACCATGAGCAGATACGGTACTCGCTCTGCACTGTTGAGACTAGTCGCTTCTGCGGGGTTGATGCGCACTATGCGGTGATGCTGGCTCTGCGACGGAATCCCATCCTTGAGAGTCGGGGGCGATAATAAGGGTATATCAACTTCAGCCGGCAGGTCCTGGGCGATCAACGCTAGTTCAGCTCTCAGAGCACTCAGCCGCGCGGGCTTCGGCACAACGACCAGGCGGTTTGAGATGTCCTCGAGCGCGCTGAGAAACTGGGTCTCGTTCCGGAAGTAGTTGGATCGCAGTAGTCGTACCTTCTGCGCGCGGGACAAGGCGGTAGGGGAGAGGGGCCTCGGTGGCAGTCCGGGGTGCTTGCGAGAACCATGCTGGAGTGGGCCTGGTCCGAGGCCAGCAGTTGCGGGAGGTGTGGGCAGGGGAGAAGACGTTTGGTCTCGGAAGTCGGGTAATGACGACGAGCTGAGCCGGGCCTCCGAGGCTATCGACAGCAACGAAGGGCGATGCTGCATCGAGGGGGTCCGTGTAGCAGCTGGCGCCCGTACAGCTGCCTTCCGCAGGTCCTTGGGTTCACGCGGCCGCGAAGACGAAGCCTTGACGGATCGCCCATCCTCGGGGTCGGAGTGCTGCTGCGCTATCCGCTTCTCCTTGGAGCGTGAGGAACTGCCCGTGACGGTCTTGCTCCGCCCGACCTTGGCCGTCTGCACATTGTCCGAGATGATGTCCTCGACGGGCCGTGGCTTCCGCGCCTGCGCAATGGCCAGTGGTCCGGCGTGGACGGGGAGGAAGGGCGCGGCGATGCTCGCCAGGACCAGGCTCGAGAGGACCGTGACGGGCAAGACGTTCTCCTTGATCTTCTCGCGGCGCTGGGGCTCGGCGGACCCGAAGACGATGCGCTGGACGCGGTTGTAGATGCGGCGGCACGTCTTGAAGGCAATCGAGTTGGGGGCGCTGGCGAGGTCGTGCAGGTACGTCTGGAACAGCCAGAAGGTCAGCAGCGCGCCGTTGACCGACTCCTCGCACAGGTCGATTATGAATTCCTCCAGGGCCATGGACTCATTGTCGATGCTGATGAGCAGGTGGCAGAGCCTGTGCCCCGCGTGTGTAAGCTAGCTGTCCATGTCTCGTCGAGGTGGGCAGGCGGCGACGTACTGCGGGAGGAAGAACTCGAGCTCCTCGTAGGCGAACTGGCGCAGCTTCGAACAGAGCACATAGTGGATTCCGACGTGGTCTGCATACCGGCTGCGGTCACGGCCATGGTCAGCAACGGGCCCCAATGCGGACGTGGGTGGAGGTGAAGGGCGCTGCGTGCGGCGGTGCTGCGGGCAACGGTGGCTTCGGGGCACATGGGACGGGGACGGGGAGGGACGGGGACTCACGCAAGGTATGCTACTGCGAGGCTCGGATCTTGGTTGAAGTGCTCAGATTCTATAAAGCGCTCTAGCAGATTCCAACTCATCTGGGACGGCTCATTGGGGCTCAGGACGGGTGGAGGGCGACGGCATGCGGTGAAATGCTCAAAAGGGTCGCATACGGAAAGATGGGGCGCGACAGGGTTCAGCGGGCGGAGCTGCTCATCTCCGCCGCCTGCGTGATAGATAGCCTAGCAATGCGACATCCACTGTATTACTGACTAATCGACTACTGCTTTCACTATGCTTCCTCCAGTTCCGCCTTCATCATAAAGAATAATCCTGCAACAATAACAAATACCCGCAGCCAACGCCGTGCATTGACTTTTTGAATAAGCCCAACCCTCGCGCGCAGTGAACCACATATCGTACACCGGGGAATATATACAGTACACGTGCAGTCTAGTCCGCAGCGTGCAGGTCGACAAAGATGTTGATGGCGGCCACCAAGACTTCAGCAAAAATGAGGATGATGACGATCCACTCGAGCAATTCACCCTGTATCGGTCAGCGGATGTACGGCAAAAAAGCATAAGTCAAGTACTTACGTGAGTGACGGTCAGCTGGTCTTTCAGGACAGCAAGCAAGTCTCCGATGACATTGAGTCGCTCGGTCAAGAGACTAACTCTCTGGTCCATCTCCAGATAGCTCCTCACAGCTTGATACACCGGGTCTAGCTGCGGCTCTGCCCACATGAGCTCGGGCGCATCCAGAACCGATCCTTGCAGATGGATACTAATGCGGAGAATGAACAGTTCTCCAATCTGCATATTGATCTGCTTCTTGTTCAGATTGATCTTGCCGGAGCTGGCGATTTCAGCCGGAATGTCCTTCGTCTCGTCGATAGTGTTGTCGACCAGGTCCTCGAACAGCGACGTCTTGACACTCTGGGAAAGACCGTGACTAATCGCCAGCTTGATCATGTAGTTCTTCTTGTCGCGCAGACTGATGAAGTCGTTGTATATCCGGGCCTGATACTCGCGCGTGTAGTAGAAGTTGAACTCTTCCGTCTCGATCTCATCCTTGCCGAGCTTGTCCACTTCAAACTTGGCGATCTCCTTCAAGAACTTCTTCTCCTCCTGCAGTGTCATGCCCCAGATTACAACAGTGCCGTACTCAAACAGGAATACTTCCGGCGT